GGGTCCCGGGTGTGTCCGTGGGGGAGCAGAGCCGTGCGGTTTGCCATGGCTCTTGAGAAGAGGTAGATGAGGTTGCGAAGGGCACACGCTGGCATCTCGGGCCTCCACCCGGCGTTTTTAAGTTCTCGGTGCGGGGGGGGGGGGGGGGGGGAGAAGCTGGACGAGGGCAAGGACAGCGAGGCGCTTGCCGTGGGCACAAATAAGGGAGCGCCAACATCCTCCATAACCAAGATAAGTGGTATTTCACTCCGATATTTTAATACGTCCGCACGAACGCTCCAGAGCCCACGATGAACATCCAGACTGTACGTGAAGACAGGCTCTGGCCCGCACGTGCGGTTCGGCCTCGCCGTCTCACCAGGCCCGGCCCCTCGGAGGGAAGGGCCCCGCGGTGGGGCCTGGACCGTGCCCGGTCCACAGCCCGCCTTGGAGCTTTGCGTTCACCAGCACAGGGAGGGTGGCGAGGGCGTGACCGCCTGCGTACAGGAGCCTTTGCCCGTCGGGGAGGTTCTGGGGATGCAGCCCCTACGCTCGGGGCTGGCGAGCTGAGGGCTGGACTTCTGCCCCTAGAAGCCCAACCACACGTGGAGGACAATGTGCTGCTGACAGCCCCCTCCCCCGCCCTGGGCATCTAGCAGGCTCCCCATCTCGGGGAGTCAGGAGCAAACCGCCCCTCCCAGATCTTTCTCAGCCCTGGGCTCTCAGACCCTCTCCTCTCCTGCCCCCCGGGCCCGAGCTCCGCCTGCGGGCTCTCGGGCCAGGCGCTCACTGTGGCCAGCCTTCTCCCGTGGACACGGTGAAGAGGGTCAGCAGCGCCCACAGCACGTTGTCGTAGTGGAACTCGTACTTCTTCCACTCTCGGTCCCGGGCCTTCACCTCGTTCTTCTCATACAGCAGGTACTTGCCACTGACGCAGAAAACGGGCCGTTAGCGAGAGGAAGGGTAAGAGGGGCCCTGCCCACGCTGCCTCTCCCTCAGCCCGGAGGCAGCCACACCCCCTCTGGCTCCCTGGGGGGGTGTGTGCCCTTGGAGACCAGCCCCCCATGATGCCGATGCCGTGACCCTGCGACCTGTGGGAGAGCCGACGGAGTCTAGCGCTCTCTTCCAGCTCGGAAACTCTCGTCTCAGATTTTGGGGGGTTCAGAGCAGGGAGAGAGACAGGCACAGTTCTGGGCCCATCAGGCCGGCGGGGGTGGTGGCTGCTCCTTTTCGGGGCAGGAGTCAGGGCTGAGCTCCAGACTCCTAGCCAAATGCCGGGATCCTTCCAGCTCCGGGAAACAGCCACCAACACAACAGCAGCTGGCATCTGCCAGCAGCAGCGGCAGCACTCAGGGTGCTTGTTAACGAGGCGCCGCTTTCCTGAGCTCCCTTCCCACCGTGAGGCCCACAGTCCCTCACCCACAGTCCCCACAGCCAGGAAGTGCTGGAAACCAAAGCCCGGCTGGCTCCTAACTCAGGGGTGGGCACGTTACCGCCCCGGGACCAAATCTGGACCAGTTTCTGTATGGCCCACAAGCTAAGAAGAGCGTTTTTTTTTGTTTTTTACCTTTTTAAATGGTTGAAAACAAATCATTCCTGACATGTAAAAATTATACAAAATTCAAATTTTAGTGCCCTAGCTGGTTTGGCTCAGTGGATAGAGCGTCGGCCTGCAGACTGAAGGGTCCTGGGTTCAATCCGGACAAGGGCACATGCCCAGATAGTCGGCTTGATCCCCAGTGGGGGGCACGCAGGAGGCAGCTGATCCATGATTCTCTCTCATCATTGGTGTTTCTATCTCTCTCTCCCTCTCCCTTTCTCTCTGAAATCAATAAAAATAAATAAGAAAATTATTGCCCTAACCGGTTTGGCTCAGTGGATAGAGCGTCGGCCTGCGGACTCAAGGGTCCCGGGTTCGATTCCGGTCAAGGGCATGTACCTTGGTGGCGGGCACATCCCCAGTGGGGAGTGTGCAGGAGGCAGCTGATCGATGTTTCTCTCTCATCGATGTTTCTAACTCTCTATCCCTCTCCCTTCCTCTCTGTAAAAAAATCAATAAAATATATTTTAAAAAAATAGAAATTACTAAAAAAAAAATTCGAATGTTAGTTTCCAGAGATAAAGTTTTACCAGAACACGGCCACGCCCATTCGTTTCCCTGCTGTCGCTGCTTCTGGCTGCACCGAGCCCTCGAGACAGAGACGGGACCCCTGCCCGGCCCCACCCCGATCTCACTCTCTGACCCAACCGGATTCGAGGCTCTTGATACTTGTTATTTATCCCAATTGGTGCAAACAGGTACACGTTTCCGGACAGAAACACTGTTTGAGAACAGGGCTGCTCTGGCCCAGCGGAGGGGGCTAGGCCTGTGCGGACATGCTCTAGGCAACCTTTCTGAAACCTCCAATCAAAACATTCTGATCTGAAGCGCATCTGCCTGTCAAGGCTTCAAATACGGGAACGTGGACGTGTATCACTATCCCCACGTGACAAAGCCGGTGGCTAGAAAGTTAAGCAGTTTGTTTATGGCGCATCCCAGAGGGACAGACAGAGACTTAAATTCCAGAACCGTTTTTCTCTACCCAGACCCCGGCGGCTTCAATCAGGTCCCTCCCCACGCCCAGCGCCGCAGCTTCCAGGCCCGAGACTGAGAGCGCTGCCTCTGTTGCTCCCCCCGCCCCCCGCGAGCCCCCAAGGGGACGCCTCGGAGAGCGGAGACCCACCGACAGTCTTTCTCGAACTCCTTGGACTCATCGGTGCAGTGGAAGAACTTGCCCTTGAACAGCTGCACGGCCACCACGGCAAAGATGAACATGAACAGCATGTAGACGATGAGGATGTTGAAGACGTTCTTGAGAGAATTCACCACGCAGTCAAACACGGCCTGAGGGGCGGGGTGGAGAGAGGGTGTGAGGGGCTGGGGCCTGCCTCGCCTCCGCCTCCGCCTCCAGCGGCCCACGACCCCAGAGTATTGCCATTACTCCCATTTTACAGACCAGGATGCGAGCCAAGCGAAGGCCACGCAGTTCTGAGAAGTACTTGCCGGGGCTGGACCCAATCCCGTTTCTATGTACCTACAAGGCCCCACCTCAACTCCTGGAACCGCTCCCCTGAGCCCCTCCGAGTTACGTGCTCGGCCTTCAGGGCAAGGGGCAAGGTCCCCAATGGAGAGATAATTTCCTGTCACTTTTGTATCCCTGCCTCACGCCGCTCCCTGTCCTCATCAGCTGCAGTTCTGGATCGGAAAGAGGACTTGCTGTGCCCCAGAGACTCTGCCCTGAGCACGATGGAACCCTCCATCGACCCCCGGAGAAGGTGGGGCCCTGGTCTGGGGTGCCCCCCACCCGCTCTGCTTCCTATCACATTGGGTCCTAACGGTGAGTGGGCGCCACGGATGGCCGGACCGGCTGGAATGACAGGCTGGTGTGGCCAGCTCTCCCCCGGGGGAGACGGGGCATGGCTTTCACGGGGCTTTCACAGGGGCTGTGGCTCAGAAAGTGGCAGAGAACCGGTGAACCGAATGCTGCTGGGATTCCCCGCATCTGTGCAAGCGCACGTTCACATTCCAAGGGCAGCCACGTGTCATCCCCGGTAACATTCCTCAACATAGTGGCATGCGTATCAGAATCAATGAGGGGCACCCCCCGGAGATATCAGATCCCCGAGGAGCCCAGCACTAAGGACCACTGAACTGCGTGGTCACACAGTTACTCCCGCTCCCATTCTCCTTCAGTCCTTGCGGGGGAAGGAGAGAGTCTTCCTTAGTTGCTGCTATGTTAGCTCCTAACGTTGCTACTTTTCCTTTTAACCAAGAAAGAGCAGCATCCACATTCAAAGCCTTTGTCAGACAACAGTGTTCGGCTGGATTTTCACAGCAGCATCTGAAGTTGGTTGAACAGATACTTAGTGTTCCCTTCAGTTAACAGTGGGTTCTGGTTTTCCAATGTGAGAAACTGGACATAGCACGTCCTTGTAAAATAAATCCACGTGAGTAAAAGACAAAGTGACTGGACTTACACATGAAGAGACAGTGCCCTCCCTCAGGTGGAGCCTACATTGCAAAGATGTGCTCAAGTGACGAGGTTTCGTTTCTTTTCTTCATTTTGGACGATAAGCTTTCGGGGAAAGCTGGGTCATGAGATTTTGGAACAAGATACTGGAGCCCAGGACAGGTCGGCGATAAGTCAAAGGTTATGAGGGACCAGACACCCAGTGTCTGGGTCATACCCCGTTTTATCCACAGGACGCCTTCACGTGAATTAGAAAAAGGGAGCCCCGGCCGGTTTGGCTCAGTGGGTAGAGCGTCGGCCTTTGGACTGAAGGGTCCCTGGTTTGATTCCGGCCAAGGGCACATACCCGGGTTGCGGGCTCGATCCCCAGTGTGGGGTGTGCAGGAGGCAGCCAATTGATTTCTCTCATCATTGATGTTTCTATCTCTCTTTCCCTCTCCCTTCCTCTCTGAAATCAATAAAAATATATTTAAAGAAAATAAAAAAAAAGGATTCCGACCCTCCCACAGGGAGATGTTTCATCTAATGGAAAATTATGATACTGTTCATGGATTGTGTTAGATCAACCACTTTACTGCCACCTGCTGGAAAGTGTTGGTAATACAAATATCCGTATATAATGGCCCTGTTATCAGCACCCCCTTCAATGTGCATCCTCGGGCAGTGTGCACCCTGCCCACCTGCACAGGCGACGCTGCCAGGCCTCCTGCACGCCCAGTCTCACCTTGAGCTTTGGCAACCGCTTGATGGTTTTAAGAGGTCGTAGCACCCGGAGGACGCGGAGGGATTTGATTGTGTTGATGTCCTTTCCTTTGCTGTTGCCACTGTGGAGGGATGTGAGGGTGGGGAGAAGGGAACAGAGGGGGCGGAGGTCAGGCTGGGCGGTGGGTGGCCCGCAGCTCCACACGAGCCCACCCTGGAGCCTGGGCTGAGCCTGGCACAGCCCTGCCCCTGCTGGGGAGGAGTGGCCCAGCTCCCTGCTGGGCGGGGCTGGAGAGCCCATGAGCAGATGGCCTTTTGTGGTTCTGGGTCAGGCTTGTTGAAGTCCCCTGACCATCTGCCCGGGCCTGAGCAGCTGCCTGCGGTGGCCTCAGACCCCGCACAGGGGAGCCGGCTGCCCTGGGTTCTCTTTGGAGGTGGCCTTGGCAAGCTCTCAGAAAATAAGATTTTTTTCACCCTTCCAACAGGATTTAGGAAATGCTTAAGGCGGCCCTCAAACCAACACCCTTACCCCCAATATTCCCTGGGTCCAGGGTTTGGTCCACTGGGTGTGAGCCTTAGCAGCGTAGACTCTGGGGACGCCATGACACCCTTAGCCAACCAGGACTCGGGCCCCCAAGGAGGACACTGGGTGCGGCCACCAGAGGCTTGTGAATGGTACACACCACCCACCCAGTCGCCCAAGCCAGAAACCTGCGAGTCACGTCCAACTTCCTGTCCTCCATCCCCACCCCCAGTGGGCCGCCCTCCTACACATCTCCACCATCTGTCCCCGGCCACCAGCTTAGGTTGGACCCCATTACCCATCTCCCAACTCCCCCCAACTCCCTGTCTCTCTCTTCTGCCACCCTGTCTGCACTCAGTGGTCAAAGCCAATGACCACCTCCCTCTCCTGCTCAGAATCCCCCTGGAGCATCTGAATTCCGAGAAGCGTGGCGTTCAATGCTCTTTGAAATCTCGTCCAACTTACCTTCACCTTTGCATCCCCAATGCTGCACTTCCCACCCCCTGCCACACGCTTGCCTCTGTCAGCTTTTGCACATGCTGTTCCCGCTGCTGGGAATGCCCTCCCTGCACATCTCCAGCCACAGGACCACGAAGCCCTGAAGGTCAGGGTCAACCGCCCCCCCCTCCCCCCCGTCTCCCGGCTGCCTCTGGGTTCTGCCAGACCCCATGCTGTTTCAGAACCATCTTTCTGTCTTTGCTTTTGGCTTTAGACGAACATTTCTCAAAGGCTTAAGCTGCGATTTATTCTTCTCTGTGTTCATTTCCCCTGTAGTCTTGTTTTTTTGTCTCAGCGCCCAGCATACATCTGGCCTGTGGTTTCGGGACACATGTGGATTCAGATCAGAGTTCGTTGGGACGGGGTGTCAGTCTCCTAGCAACCATCTTCCTATCACAGAGCTTTCCCACAGACCCCACCACGGTGTGTCTGAGTATCCAGGTGCAAGAGCGTCATTCTTCACACCATTTGCGTTTTTAGAGCTCCCTCTCTCCTTTTTCAGGGAATAAAGAGAACTGGACATCTCTTATGCCCCAGGATTCAGCAGCCTGAACATGTGTTTCTCTCTCTCTCTCTTTTTAAAATGTTTTTTTTTATTGATTTTACAGAGAAGAAGCGAGAGGGAGAGAGAGACAGACACATCAATGATGAGAGAGAATCACTGATTGGCTGCCTCCTGCACGCCCCCTACTGGGGATCAAGCCCACCACCTGGGCATGTGTCCTTTACGGAATCAAACCAGTGACCTCCTGGTTCATGGGTCCACACTTAACCACTGAGCCACATCGGCCGGACCATGTGTTTTCTCTCTTAAACCACAGTCACCATTATTGCCTCAAGGCTGTGCCCCATAGTATGTGAATGGTTGACATGGGGGACACGCTTCCTGGGGTGCATCTGCTCATCTGAAAACAACCCCATGCCCCCTGTGGGGGCCCCTCTTCCAGGAGACACCCCGCCCCTGGGTGAGGCTGAGAAGCCATCCTGTGACTCAGGCGCCGAGTGGCGTGTCCCTGGCAACTGGGCTCACGACCCGGTTTTGGAACCACTTTGCTGGGCGTGTGGACACACCTGGGGGGAGGGGCTTTCTCCTCTCAGAGCCCAAGTCCAGCTGTTTGGCCTGCTCCCCCTTCTCACCGGGGAGGTGGACACTCACAGTCCTCGGGTAACTACCACCCAGGCCAAAGGCCGTATCGCAACCAGACCCCGGGAGGTCCCGCCCCCTCCGTTCTCCACCCAGAACTGAGCCAACGGTGGTCATGGTGGGAGGCAGCGGCCAAGACCCCTCAGGGCTCCTCCTCTCCGGGGAGCAGGCTGAGGGGGTCTCTGGTCACTGCAAGCGACAGGACAGCAGCACGGACACAGGCCGTGGGAACAGGCCCAGAACCAACACGGCTGCACCAGAGCATGGAGAACGAGAGGCAGACGAGAGAGAGAGAGAGAGAGAGAGAGAGAGAGAGAGAGAGAGAGAGAGACTTTACCGTGTACTGCTCCTGGTGAGGTGGCGTCGGAGGGAGAGACAGATCGTAAGCGGCCTCAGAAGAGAGAACACAGAACACGCACATACACGCACACACACCTGAGAACCCCCTGCCCCGCCCGAGCACCGGAGGGCGGCCTCAGGCCCGCGGCTCCGGCCGATGTCCATCCTTCCATCAGGGAGCCCCCCGCGCGGCCCCCTGCGCTCGGCAGGCCCCTGGCACCGCCCAAGGACACCAAGAAGCCAAATTTCCAAGTAGCAGGGCAGCCAGGGGGTCATCGATGACCAGAGGCGAGTCTGCCACCGAAGGTCACTGCCAAGAGCTGGAGAAACAGCCTTTCTCCAGAGGTGCTGGCGCCGGGAGGCCTCGGAATGCCGTCGAGGTCCCGCGCCTTGGAGCTGGGGGTCCTGGGTTTAGATCCCAGCTCTGCTCTCATTAGCATCCTCGTCTGTAAAACAGGCATCGGGACCCTGGTGCTCAGCGGGCAGGAGCTACGCTCGCGGCTTTATCCCCTACGTCACGGGGTGACATGAAAGGCAACTCCGAGTCCTCTGAGAAAACGCAGGCCTGGAGTTGAGCCCCTGGCCTCCTGCAGCCCTCCCTCCAGGACTGCAGAGCCGGCTGAGAAAAACTCGGCCGCCAGCAGAACGGGGGACACCCCACTGCCAAGCAGATCCTCTAGAGCAGCAGTTCTCAACCTATGGGTCGTGAACAATGAAAATACATTCTGCAGCTGAAACCGGTTTGGCTCAGTGGATAGAGCGTTGGCCTGCGGACTGAAAGGTCCCAGGTTCGATTCCAGTCAAGGGCATGTACCTGGGTTGCGGGCACATCCCCGGTGGGGGATGTGCAGGAGGCAGCTGATTGATGTTTCTCTCTCATCGATGTTTCTAACTCTCTATCCCTCTCCCTTCCTCTCTGTAAAAAATCAATAAAATATATTTAAAAAAAAAAGAATGCTGATTAAAAAAAAACAAACATCCTGCATATCAGGTATTTACGTTACGATTCATAACAGTAGCAACATTACAGTTATGAAGTAGCAACGAAAATAATTTTATGGTTGGGGGGTCACCACAACATGAGGAACTGTATGAAAGGGTCGCGGCATTAGGAAGGTTGAGAACCGCTGCTCTAGAGACTGTGCCACCCATAACCCCTTAGGAAGTGAGTGCTATTTAAAAAAAAAAGGGGGCGTAAATGCCTACAAATGCTCCCCTTGGGTTTCTTCTCCCCCCGCCCTGTCCCATGAGCTCAGTGGTTCTCAAACCTCAGAGTATCTAGGAATTGCTGCGCACACGGAAGTGTGCAGACTCTCCTTTATAGATTAGGAAGGAGTCATTCGTGGGCAGTGATTTTTACTAAACATGCTGACCGTACGTGTGACATGTGACTCGTCTAAATGTCTCTGCCTCTCCCTGCAGGAAGATGATACCTTTATGCCCGTTTTCCAGATGCGGAAGCTGAGGCCCAGGGAGGGAGAGTGACTTGCCCCAGGTCATCTAGGCGGGGCACAGCAGACTGAGATTTAAACCCAGGTGTGTACCTCTTGCACTCTAATCTTCTTTCTGTTTCATCACACGCAAGAAAAAAATAACGCCTTCAAGGGGGAGGGGGCCTGTTTTGAGAATGGGGATTAAAAAAGTGGCAGTCTGAGGGCTCCTTCTGTGGTTTCCTGGCAGTTCAGCCCCCCGGCATGCAGGAGCGGCTTGATCAAGGCGCTCCACCAGCTGTGCCGGGCTGCCCTGAGGGAGGAGTGGCAGCACCAGATGGACTCTTGGCAGTGAGGGCAGGACCGTGATCTGCCAGCTGCTGAGAAATGTCAGTTGCCCGCCTCGATGCATGGGCACGGAGCATGATGTTAGGCGTGATGGCTCATGAGATGGTGCGTTAATGTGGTCACATGGACATGGCACACGGCAGTGGATGGAGCAGGATGCACACACAGGTATTTGGGCAAGGTGCAGGCGGGTGGAGCCTGTCAGGAGAGCGTCGACCATCCCTTGGAGGACCACAGGGATCGTTTTCATATTGCGACGGGGCCACAGTCACAGCCCCGCAGCAGAAGCCTTGCTTCCACCCCAAAAGGCCAGAACAGCAAGATTCCTTTCCACAAGGAAGGGAACAGCCTCGTGCCTCTTCCCCTGGATTTCTGGGGCCAGTCGGGGCCTCCGGGAACCCAGGCTGGCTGGGTTACCAACGGACCCTGCCAGCTTCTGAAAGCCCTCGAGATCGGGGTTGGGAGCCGGGCAGCAGCCCTGAATCTGACCGTGAAACTCGATTCGCGATCTTGCGAGATTCATTTCCTTCTGGGTCTCAGTTCCCTCATCTACGAAATGGGAGCACGAAGAGCTTCCCACAGGGGGTGGTTATGAAGGTGACATAAATGGAGGCTGTTTAGTATCGTTATTACCAAGTTGAGTTTCTTGATTTTATGGGGGAACGGAGGCACAAAGAGGCTAATGGACTTGAACATCTAGAGAGGAATCAGACATTTGCAGGAACCTTTTTCTAAAACAATAAGGTTAATCTAATACTTGCGGTAGGGGTGGGGGGGAGGCGGGTCTCAGCCTTGTCTCTGAGGAGAGGAGGAGAGAGGCACACGGGACTAAGAAAGCAAGTTAAAGGGCCAGAAAGAAAAGAAGCAAAGGACTCTGGGGCTGGGTACTCGGGCTGAGGGCCTCAGAGCAGACTCTACTCCCGCCAAAAGGACATCTATCTGGTAAGAAGAAAGACAGTAAAACTAAGTCCTCGTAGAGCAAGAGACCTTCTTGGGCAAGAAATGTCAGAAACCTGCAGCCAGTGGGAGGATTCTAAAGCTTTTCTGGGGTGAAAAGGAGCAGCTTGAGGGCTCCTTCGCTAGCTTTCGGGCAACCTGGCCCCGTGGGCATGCAGGAGTGGCTTGATCAAGGTGCTTGGACAGCTGTGCCGGGCCTGCAGCCCTGATGTGGAGGAGTGGCAGCACCAGATGGATTCCTGGCCGTGAGGTGGGAGGGCGTGTCTGGGTCGGGGTCTCAGGGTCTAGCTCTCCCGTCCCTACGCCCGTCGCGAACAGGCGCTTCCGTAACTGTCAGCCCTCCCCATACCCCATGAGAGTCCCTGGCATTTGTCAGGATTCCCCTGGCAAAATCTTGCACCCCCCAGTTCCTGTGATAGCGACGGGCCCACCAAGGCTCACAGGATGGCCTCGGGTCTCTGTCCGGACCCTTTCCTTGCAGAGGGATTAAAAAAAAAATTAAATTGGTATTTTCAAGGTCATAAGCTAGCAGGTTGACTCTACAAATATGTTGCCAATGTCTGCAGGCTCATTTAGAATGCCTTCGTATGACTACATTGGGAAAGAAAACGCAAACAATAAAAAAACCCCGCTCCCTGTGGCAGATTCCTTTGCAGCACAAAGAATCATCTGCTGATTGATTTTTGGTGGAAAAATAACTTGGTTTCTGCAGATGAGGCTGGCTTAGAGGGGGGCCTCTTTCCGGGTCCAGGGAGCCCAGAAACAGCTTATTGCAAACTACAGTCTGTCATGGCACAAGCTCTATGGCCGGAAGGTTTGTTTCTGGGTCTTTTGAAGGCCTCCCCTTCCCCAAACTGTGAGGGTCAAGTTCAGGGGCAGAGGTGGACACATCAGCTTCACCAGCGGTCAGGGAGGAAGTGCCAGGGTCCGTTGAACAGACATCACTTCTGCTATGCCACACCCAGAGGTGGCCACGGAGGGCAAACCCACTACCCAGGGCACAGCTGGCAGCCCAGGGCTGTGTGTGAACAGATGGGTGTGACTGACAGGGCCCCCCCCCTTCCTGCCCCCAAATGGACCCTGGAGCTGCTGGGCAGAGGACATGCTGGAGGGCTTGAGGACGGGGGACGGGTGCCCGCCTGAGCGGCCCGCCCTGACATGAAGACCACTTCTCCGTCGGGACAAGGAGGGGGCGGGGTCTCCCGAGCTGGAGCACATGGTGGAGAGTCTGCCTTCTCCATGCCACACGCAGCCAATGCAGGTGGTGGGCTCCC